TCCTCTCTAAGATTACGATTACTGATTGGGGAGGGGACCAGATACAGAAGGAGAAAGTGAGAATCGGGAGGCAGAGGATAGTTAGTAACTAGGAACAGAGACGTTGCTGGGTTAAGTTGGGAGTAGCGAGTACCAATAGCAGACAGGGTTAAGAAAGTGTTACGAAAGGAGGAGGAGATCTGAGTGGCTCTGTTAAGGTGAGGGGTAGAATTGGAGATAACAACACCAAGATGTTTCGCAGAATCCACCTCCCTCAGCTTCTTACCAGCAAGATAAAATGATCTGGTTAATTGAGCAGTTTGTCTAGAAGTGGAGGATTCGCCAATAACAAGGATCACCGATTTGTCAGTGTTAAAGGAATAGTGCCACGTATCAGCATAAGATTAAGCAATGTTAAGCATCTGTTGTAAGTTCAGTGGATCATTCATATGAGACAGACATCATCAACATAGGTACGGTGGGTGCACCCACCCACGAAAGTGGGTCACGTGAGTGTTTAGGCGTGGCTGCTGCATCATTGTATACTAGTATACTATAAGCTTTGCTGGCTGAGCTAGTCCATTGAGCTGGAAAAGAAGATGGGAATGCCGCAACCGGCTGCTACTATCTCTTTGCTCTTCCTCATTTGTTGCAGTCAAATGTTTTCAAAAGTTCATGGTGAGTTACGGGGGGACTTGGTAAAAGCGGGGTGGGGATCGGGATGGGGAATGGGATTTCATCGGATATTGGGAGCCGCTTTTCATCGGTAAAAGAAGGATCAGAGGGGATCGAGACCCAGGATCAAAATAATGAAGACGGACAAGTCTGCAACTGGCAATGCAAGGCTCTATAGATCTATATGAGTTCATTTTGCAAGTCTGGACATTATTATTCTAAGCAGAAGACCTGCATGCATGAGAAGGCAGGCTTTTGATTTATTTTTATGAAGTAGAAATTTTAATTCATAATATTTTAAGTTCTTCACTGTAAAATATATTAGCATCTTTATGTGACATGCCACTTTGAAATGCTAAAACCATCACCATTGCCTAAAAATGTCATGGGCATCAAAATAGATGAGTAATTTTTTTTATCTGACACAATACTGATATACCTCTGGCCATAATAAGTTGACTGCAAATGCCTTCCTTATGGTGACATATTATTAGCTCACAGTGCAAAGAACTTATTTCTTCAAGGTACAGAAATATTGTGACTATAGTATATTAATCATAACAATTAACAATAAATTTATTTTAAAAACTTACAACTGCATATTTTGTAAAGACCTGGTGTTGCAAGGTAAATGCAACGGCAATACTTGATACTTTTATTGATGTCATTAGTATTCAAGAGCCATTATTTACAGCAAATCATCATACATTTCAATGTAAGTTACGTAATATAGTTTAATCAAAGTCACTTGTTTTGCAGAACAATTCAAACTATCTCCAAACATGGTTTATTGTTATGATTAATACTATAATACTCACAATATTTCTGTATGTAAAGAAATAAACCATGTTCGGAGATAGTTTGATAGGATTTCACCATAAGGAAGGCATTAGCAGTCAATTTATAATCAGTATTGCCGGTGTCAGATAAAAAATTTCAGTACTGATCTATTTTTATTCCGGGCCCATGACATTTTTAGGCAATGGTGACGGTTTTAGCATTTCAAAGTGGCATGTCACATAAAGATGCTAGTATATTTTACAGGAAAGACCTTGAAATATTATGAATTAATGAATAAATGTCTGCTTCAACTTTATGTTAAATGATTCATAGCAATTAAATAAAGCCTGCCTACTCATGCATGCAGGTCTTCTGCTTAGAATAATACTGTCCAGGCTTGCAAAATGAACTCATATAGATCTATAGAGCCTTGCATTGCCAGTTGCAGACTTCTCCCTGTCTTCATTAGTTTGATCCTGGGTCTTGATCCCCACTGATCCTTCTTTTACCGATTAAAAGCGGCTCCCAATATCCGGATCTCCACCCCGCTTTTACCGATGAAATCCCGTTCCCATCTCAATCCCTACCCCACTTTTACCAAGTCCCGAGTATTGACTATTGGGGTCTCGTTTCCATGATTTGATTTTGCACTAGTGATGCTATGTGACTTCATCAATCATGTGTTATAGGCAACATTTTGCTAGCAACATTTATAGTTACTTTGCTCTTGTTGCCAAGAACAGAGCTATGCAAAATGATGCTTTAACATGCGTAATGATACGTCCATGATGATACTATATCCCAACTGAGTTTGACCCAAGAAAAACTGGAATAACTTTTTATAGGAATGTGGGATAAGGATGAGACTTTCACAGGTTCTTAGTCGCCCAATGCCATCACAGGATCTCAGGTCTTGGGTCTCTCAACCCTTGGGTACCCTGAGAACCGGGTTCTTTCTATAAACCCAATGGCATACCAAAATGACGTTTTATGACAATTTATCTACGTCATAGTTTACATAAGAACATGTGGTCCAGCGCCCAAACTGATAATTCTTCTTTTTAAAAGCTAACAGAGCAAGATCTTCTGATAATGATTGCCTGTATAAAAGACTAGTTGACTCCAGCAGCTATTGTACTGCTTATCAGAACAAACAAAGCCCATTTAAGAGTGCAATACAGGCCAACCACACAGCTGTAAAATGTCGGCCATGCTTCTATGAATATCATTATAAGATGTCATCAGTGATGTATACCTACATTTTTCAAATTCCAAGCGGCTGGTGTCAAACTCAGTTGGGATATAGTATAGTAGTAATAATAATAGCAATAACAATGAGCTAATACAGGCATAACATGAGCACAATTGATGAATGTTATTACACTTTACATGCTTTGCTTGCTTCCTTTGCCAAAATGGGGCAGCTCATATACTTAAATGCCAAGCTATATATTTGTGCATTATAAAGCAGGCTTGGTATTAAATGTACATGCATGTAGTTTAGCAATGAGAAAAATGCACATCCACAGTGGACACTGTTTAGAAATTTTTAAGTAACATGCAGGAGTCTTTTCTGGTAGTAAATGTGGCAGGCCTATTTTTTTGAACAAACATGGTATTTAATTATTAGGGAGGAAAACCTATATGCAGCACATGTAATATCACATGATAGTGGTATTAATTGCACTAAACCCATTATACTCTTATGTGACAACCAGTGTAATTAGACAAATTTTATTGGCAGGCTTAAGCAATGGAGCTATTATTCTTTCTCGATACAACTATGCATCAACATCATATTACTATGGCATAGTGAGAGTATATTATAATGGATGGGGTAACATATGTAATGACTACTATTTCGATTCAGCTGAAGCTAATGTCATTTGTCATCAGTTGGGATACACTGGAGCTTCAAGCTACTCTAGAGCTGGACTAACTAGGTATGTACCGTACATGTATATTTTACATCAACTATTAACCTGAATAATTTTTATGTATATAGCTATGGTACCGACTACTATTTTATGAAGTGGGATGATGTTAACTGTGGTAGTAATTCATACCTGTCCATTGCTCAATGTTCCTACTCTACATACATTGACAGTGGTTGTGTTAACAGTAACAGTTATGATGCTACTGTATACTGCTGTAAGATTGTGCATATAATTGTTACGTTAGCAATATGGTTCAATTTTACAGATACCACTAGGATCTGGAACAGTAGTCCATTCCCTGGTATGGTACGTCTTCAAGATGGAGTTTATTCTAATGAAGGACGTGTTGAGGTTTATTGTAATGGACAGTGGGGGACAATATGCAGTGATGGGTTTGACTCTACTGATGCCAACACTATCTGCAAGCAACTGGGATATGATTCATTTGCGATTTTTAATGGATCAAATTCCACTTAGTAAGTGAATGACATATACACTTATTATTATTATTGTGTTGTTCAGTGCTAATAGCAGTCAGTCTATATGGATTACTGGCATGTACAGTGCCTCAAGTGATGTATGTTTGACTCAAAGTAATTCCTGTCCTAGCAGTGGAGTGATGAATTGCTCTAATTCTAGTATTGTATCAATCGAATGCTGTTAGTTAATATATTACTTTGATAAATACTAATTTCTTTCTGTAGCTGAGAGTTCTACTTTTACTAGGTATACTGCTGATGTTCAGTCTTGTAGTAAGTCATTTTTTAAATCCAACACAAAATTTTATTTCAGTGTTATTTTACACATGTATCCTTTGCATTTGTAATGTTAATTGAGTTGCAATAAATACATGTACATGTACATTTATTTGGTAGTCTAATGTTTTTTATTGTGGTAATTTTTACTGCATCTACATTTTGACAAACAAATTTTTAACAGCTTGCAATCTCATCATTATGCATTCCTGCATGTGACTAATTCAGTTGAATGTATGATCCAAATTATGAATGGAATTTCCTGTTTATGGAGCAACCAAAAGTACATTTTATAACATAATGTACTCTTGGTGTTACTGCTGACTCCATTTCCTTTATGAAATGCTGAATATGCATTTCATTAGTATAATTCTTTGTACATGTAGTAGGTGCAATTTACACCATAATACAGATACCTTAGAAGTTATGATTATATCATATGGTGTAATGATATAGTAAATACATGTATATTTTACATCATATGTTGTAATGATGTAGTAAATGTAAGTTGTGCATGTTTACGTACTCTATCAAGAGTGGATAATTATTTGATACTACTATACATGTATTACTCATTTAGATTTGGATGGTACTGTTAAAGGAACAATCATTCTCTCTCGTAACAATGTGGCATCAACATCATTTTATTATGGAGTAGTGAGAGTGTATTATAATGGATGGGGGAACATATGTGATGACTCCTCTTACAGTTACACTGAAGCTAATGTTATTTGTCATCAGTTGGGATACACTGGAGTTTCAAGCTACTCTAGAGCTGGACTAACAAGGTATTTTCTATTTTCTGATTCTAATTATTGTTGTTTTAGTTATGGTACAGACTATCTCCCTATGAAATGGGATGATGTTATTTGTGTCAGTAGCAGCTATTTATCTATTGCTCAATGTTCCTATACTACTTACATTGACAGTGGTTGTGTTAACAGTAACAGTTATGATGCTACAGTATACTGCTGTAAGTTATTTAGTTCTCTCTACATTGTGTTTAATGCAAATTTACAGATGCCACTAGGATCTGGAATAGTAATCCATTCCCTGGTATGGTACGTCTTCAAGATGGAGATTATTCTAATGAAGGACGTGTTGAGGTTTATTGTAATGGACAGTGGGGGACAATATGCAGTGATGGGTTTGACTCTAATAATGCTAACACTATCTGCAAGCAACTGGGATATGACATGTCATTTGGTTTTAATGATATTTCATTGTATGCTTAAATTGAATAAAAGTGCATGGTATGTAATAAATAATTCTTCATTTTTTGTAGGTATGAGAATTCCAGCAATTTAACAGTATGGAGTCGCTCTGTTCCTAATTTACCCACTGATGTATGCTTTTCTGTAACTGATACTTGTCCAGTGTCTTTGATGTTAAATTGTAGTGATGCAGTTGCTATCACATGTGGTAAATATTAAAATTTAAACTTATTTGTACAATACTAGCATAATACTATTTTTATTATGTTTTGTGTAGTGTATGCTGAGAAATGCTAGTATATGCATGCATCTACATCTATATTTTACCAAACCTGTATTAGTTTTTGTATGAACTAAATGTTTAATAATTAAATTTTTGAAATTTTTTCATGTTACTAATTATTTTGAACTTTTGGTGTCCATTAATTTATTGATTTTTAAAAGTGCTTAACACACCTATTGTGTCATACTTTGTTTATTTTAGGTGAAGAGTCTACCTGGACAAGACAAACTGTGACTACATCAACTTGCATTCAATACCATTGTGAGAGCACTTTATTACAATCATAGCATTATACCTATGTTTAATTAATAATTAGCTGAAGCTGCCGCTGGAACAATTATTCTATCTCGTAATAATGTGTCTTCAACCTCTTATTACTATGGAGTAGTGAGGGTGTACTATTATGGTTGGGGGAACATTTGTGATGATGTTTATTATAACTCAGCTGAAGCTAATGTCATTTGTCATCAGTTGGGATACACTGGAGCTTCAAGTTACTCCAGAGCTGGTTTGTCCAGGTACATCTATATAAAAATATGACTATAGCTGTTAAAATTTGCCCTGTAGTTATGGTACAGACTATCTTTCCATGAAATGGGATGATGTTAACTGTGCCAGTAGCAGCTACTTATCTATTGCTCAATGTACCTACTCTACTTACATTGACAGTGGTTGTGTTAACAGTAACAGTTATGATGCTACTGTATACTGCTGTAAGACATTTTTAATGTTACACAGTATTTATGAATATTATTTCAGATGCCACTAGGATCTGGAACAGTAATCCATATGCTGGTATGGTACGTCTTCAAGGTGGAGATTATTCTAGTGAAGGACGTGTTGAAGTTTATTGTAATGGACAGTGGGGGACAATATGCAGTGATGGGTTTGACTCTACTGATGCCAACACTCTCTGCAAGCAACTGGGATATGATTCATCCTCATTCTTTCATCTTTCATAGTATGTGATTCTAATTTGTTCATTAATGATTATTGTGTAAAATTATCATTTAGTGATTCAAATGACAGTTTGCCTTTTTGGAGTTCTAACATGTATAGTACTGGATATGATTTGTGTTTTAAAGAGCACAACAATTGTCCTAACACTTCAGTGACTAATTGCTCCTACTCCAATAGTATATCAATCCAGTGCAGTAAGATAACATATTTCATGTATAAATTATTTTTTGCTTTACATGCATTTAGCTGATACTTCTTCATACAATAACCTTGATATAGAGCTAGATACTTGTGCTAATGTTCCTGGTAAGTCTTATGTACATTAGTTACTGACTACAAACTCATGCCATATAGCTCTGATAGTTTCTTGATATAAATTTCATCAAAATATTTTTGTCACGGGCTTATAGAAGTGTCAAGGAAATCTATGATGCATAAAATTTGTGACATTGATTACAATTACAATTGATTCATATTGGTTTCAGTTATGTAAATCTGGCACTAGACCTGATAAAGAAATTAGCCTATGTTGTGAATAGTTCAGCTATGTTGTACATGTACATGTAATGTAGTTCACACAACTTCAAGTAGTATGGCATGTAGTTAATTGTAGTTTATACACTGTAGCTCTTGTCTGCTTCTATTCTCCTCATACTTGTACATGCAATAGTCAGTGTCACCTATAGTTTTTTTGTATGAATCATACAAGCAGTTTAAATTACAGCGTCAATCAATACTTAAAAACATATAACTTATGATCAGATGTATATCAATGATGAGTGGGACACAATGCAGACTAAGTCTTAATCTGTGCCCCACTCATCATTGATATATACCTTAAGGACTCCTAGTATGTGTTGATTGAAATAGATCCATTTCTGTTTAGTCTCACATCACTATTAGCATACAATACAGCATCTATTAGAGATACAGTCTCAGGATTAAAATAGAGGATTCATTGCAGTTAACTTCTATATTAATTAAAAATGCCATTGACAATGTAATCCATATTGATTCATATGTTAGTATGCCATTATTATTTTAGACTTACTTCATGCTACAAATGGAACAATCATCCTTTCTCGTAATAATACATCATCA